AAACCACTCCCTCTGGCATTTTGCCAGGCACCATCCAGACTTGTTTACGAACTCTAACATTCCCCTGGCAAAATGCCAGGTGTTATTTTTGACTTGTTTACAGACTCTAACAACAGACTTGTAAGTAGAAACATCCTATGATATGGTAACTTCTTGCAAAGAATTCAGATGGTTTGATTTATTGTGCATATACACCAGGGGTCATTTAAATTTTAAAGGTCTTCAAACTTTGCCTTGAGTTCAATTCTCTTAAACTTGTTCATCTCTCCTGACATATACACATACCTTTTCCCCAAATCTCCAGAATTTGGGACTCAGCCTCACCAGTAAATCAGAATGGGGAGTTGATCATGGCATTGACCTTTCTGGAAAAAAGTGTGCCCTGCTCTGCCTGGGGTTTACAAAGATGAAATGTTCAATCATTGTTAGACACTTTGCTTTTTAGAAGAAGAAAGAGGACCCTGCCCCTGTTCTTGCTGACATAGGCATTTTCTTAGGGTCAAAATCACCAGGTTGTTACAAGGATGATGATGACAAAGCCCCAAAGGGAATTTGAACACAGTGTCAAAGATAAGGGAATGGGGATGATGAGGAGGGTTGAGAAGAAGCCACCTTGTATGGGTAGAAGCAAACCATTGGAAGAGTTGATTTTTGGCTATTTATTTATTTACCAAACTAGTCATTACTTAATTTTTTCATTTTTTGCTGGCCTTCAAACCTTTTCACACCTCTCATTATACATTATGATGAGAAGGCAAATAACCAGACAGCAGGAAGTTTGTTAAGGAAACAGTTTCTGGGCTCTGCTATGCTCACTACCCATTAAATTTCATTTCCATTGCCACTGTAGCTACCACCTTCGCTCCATGATTATTGTTCATAGTGAAAATTTGGGGCCATTTGGAAAAGAATGTACTTCCTATCAGGAAGATAGTGATATAGGTAATGTGTCCCAGAAAAAGACTTTCATTAAAAAGAATTAAGAATACCTCATTTTAAGAATAATCCAGTTTCTAAAAGATTTATAAATTCTTCCCACCTTTGTTGTAAAGAGCCCAGTAAACAGGTATTACATTGCATTTTCTGTGTATACCTTTCCTGGTTTAAGCTCACACATTCATAATGTTCTTATTTTCATATTTAAATAAGTGTTTTCACTTTGCTTGAATAAGACCCAGTATATTATATCGTACTGTGTATTGCGGCCTCATTATACCATTAAATTAAAAAAATTCTCTTTTGTCTAACGTTCTTTAATCTCATTGAGTACTAATAAAGAAGTCTCATGTAAAATTTACTCATGATCCATTTTGTACGTTTATCTGTTGTTGCTTTACAGCTGGGTCACCTTTTATATAACCTTAAATTAGTTTATGTTAGTAGAAAAAGTCCAGGTCAGCTACTGAAATGAGTATTTAGGGAAGCTTATTTCATGAATTTAGTCTAAAACAACTCTCAAGTTGTAAATGCTTTTTCCTCTCCACGGTTTTGTTAGAGATGTCATCGTACCTCAGGGGCCCCAGGCACTTTTCACCCAGTTTCCTTCCATGCTTCATTCACAAAAATGGCCAGAAATGAGGCTCACACTCTTGTTGACATGAGCATGTGCTTAGGATGAAAAGGCATAAACACTTCACACTTTCAGCTTGTCAAGGGCATCGTGCCATCTGACGTCCTTCACTACCCCTTGTGAGAAAGCCATAAATAACCATAAAGCTGAGATGGGGGTTGAATACAGCACACTTTGATTATAGTGACACAAATGGCCACGTTTATGACTAGGGGTGATCAAAAGTGCTCTTTCTGCAGGTGTAGTCAGGTGCTTGGTAAATGATTTCTTATAATAAAAATATAAGATGACTATTGATAACGTGTTAGAAAGAAGGCTGTGAGTCATTTAAAAATCATAGTTTGTTTTGTTTATGTTTCATTTATGTACTTAAATTTTTATCTGGTAGTCTTTTGATCTGTTGATTCTCATTAGAACTGGAAAATGGGGGGGGGGGGGGGGGTGTTAAATGTTCTGTTTATTTAGTTTTCTTTTGGAGATGGGGTCGCCCAGGCTGGTCTTGAGTTCAGAAGCTCAAGCGATCCTCTTGCCTCAGCCTCCTGAGTAGCTGGGACCAGGTATTCGTGACCACACCTAGCCTAAATGTTTTAAAAAGATTTCTTCTTTAGAGTTACTGTTGGGGGACTAAAGAAAAGAAAAACAGTTAAGTCTATATTATAGTTACCCTGGTAAATGCTGAAAATGTACCCCCATAAAATCCTGCCGGCAGTTTATTGACATAATTGAGTAATGTTTAACTGGTGGCATTAAGAACTGCCATAGAAAGAATAACTTCTGACTTTTTCTCTTCATTTTCAGATTTGTAGCCAAACCATGTGCCATCGCCCTCAATATTCAGGCCAATGGACCACAAATTGCGCAGCCCAATGCCATTCTGGAAAAAGTCTTCACTGCGATTACAAAGGTATGAATGTCCCTTTCTTGGTGTGATTGCCACCACCACCTTCTCAGGCTGCAGTCAGACTCTGCTCTCTGGATTTTGAGACTCAGCTTTTGCCCTGCCTGGTACCTGAAGGTGGTTTCTCAGAGAGAACACAGATATTGTGAATGAACCCAAACAGTAGCCACTGAAAGAAGGCGGGTATGTTCTAGAGCAGCTTGTTAAAACTCCAAAGTTGTTTGTGACAAACAGTCTTGATTAGATAACACCCCGTCCAAGTCTGTGCCTCTTTCAGTTTCAGGAGATATAGAGCAATACAGATAAGGCCTGGGTGGGACTCCACAAAGGTAAAGAATAAGGATTTATGCCCATGAAGAAACAGGACCTGTTTGCTTAAAATGTCTGTGTATTCTGGGAGCTGTAATAATTAGATGAATGCATGATTAAAGAAGAAAAGAATTGCAAGGTGAAAGGTCAAGAGAGTTAGAAATGAAGATATAGAGAAATAAAAGAGACCAGATGCCCAATCAGGTAGGGGTTCCAGTCTCCCACTTAGGAGTAGGGAGAGGAAAGCAGGGGAGGGCAGAGGAGAGACTGCCTCCCCTGCTCTCCACCCCATCCTGAAGAACAGAGGGGAGAGGAGAAGGGAGAACCAGAAACCTTCAGCCCAGAGAGGGAAGCAAGTAAAGCAGTCACCGCAGCCATGTATCTACTCTCTCTCTCTGCAGATCTTGCCCAAGTCTTCTCTTGCTCCTGCCTGAACAAGAGCAGAAGCATGACATTCTTTGAGAAGAATTGTGTGTTCGTATATTAGATGATTCATTTCCCCTTTTTCATTTTTCTGCAAAGCTTCATTATCCAGGCTTCTAAGATGTCATCTGATAGTGTTAAGAAAAATTCTCCTCCTTTTTGGGTTTTTGTGAGGCTAACCATTAGTAGTGTCTGTTTCTTAACTTAGAACTCTATTTTTTGGAGGAAGGGGATTGAACTCAGGCGCACTCAACCACTGAGCCACATCCCTAGCCCTATTTTGTATTTTACTTAGAGACAGGGTCTCACTGAGTTGTTTAGTGCCTCTCCATTGCTGAGGCTGGTTTTGAACTTGTGATCCTCCTGTCTCAACCTCCCCAGCTGCTGGGATGTGCCACCAAGCCCGGTTTATTTTACAACTCTTAATTCAAGTATCTACTCTTGTTTATCGTCTTCATTCCTACCAAAATTCTCTAAGGGTTTCCTCTCTATCTTGTAAACAATTGTATTTTTTCTTGGGAAAAATATATAAAAGCACCATCTATTTTTTTTTTTTTTTTTTTTTACATCTCTGCAAGGAAGAAGAAAATAATGAATGGAACTTCCGAAAAAGCTCTTGGTAGCTTTGAGGGATAATTTTAGATTTCCATGTTCCAATCTCAAGGGACACATATTCTATGGTATTTAAAGGAAGAAAATATTTAGAAAAAAATACCTCATGTTTTCATTTAGTGTATTGATTTACTGCAGTAAGACATTTTCTCTCTCTTTGAACAAAACGGATGTGCAGGGAATTATTCGGGTTTTCTTTTCTTTTTTGGTGCTGGGAAATGAACCTAGGGCCTCAGCATGTGCTGTCTCCTGATTTAGACCCCAGCCCCCAGGTGCATTTTTTATTGCTGTTAGAGCTCATAGGTATTTCCCTGTAAATGCATTAGGTATGCAGTATTCCAAATGAATAATAAAATTAGTTTTTTATACAAATTTTGTGCAGGACAAAAGGATGTCCTGCAGTGGACATTCTATCTCACTTGCCGTATGCTTATCATGGTTACTGGAGAAATTTCCCCTGTAAAGGTACTAGGTTGACTTCACTGGAGCTTATTTGCTTCTAGTTCATTTTAATGATCGTAGTCTCTTCGTTTCCAAGGTGATGCCTCTGGAAGTTTTTACATGATTAAAACAGAGGCCTTATGTTTTAAATATAAATGCAGCGAAAGTGTGAGCTGTTTTTCCTTGCATTCTTTGTGGTTCTTTGGTCTGATCTGTGATATTAAAACAGGTTGTCTGGGCTGTGGGTGTAGCTCAGTGGTAGAGCGCTTGCCTAGCACATGTGAGGCACTGGGTTCCTATCCCCAGCACTATATAAAAATAAATAAATAAGAAGGTTAAAAAAAATAATAATAAAAATAAAAACAGGTTGGCTGACTGCTGTAGGAAGAGCACAACTTGGAGAATTCTGGCACATTGTCTGCGAGTTTGAATGATTATCCAACGGCCTGACCGTGATCATGGTGCCAAGTGACCTTTGGTAGAAGGGCAGGGTTATCTTCCCCCAAGTTTGTAGGCATATAATCCTCCCCCAAACCCTTAAGTCTCCTATGTCCAGGAAGGGTCACACAGATTTGGGGGAACAGTGTGGAATGAAAATGTGGGACTCCTTGTTCAAAAAGCACAGAAAAGTACCATTAAAGTATAAAAATAGAAATTTGTTTTCTTTTTTTCACAATTTCTCATTCAGTCTATTGAGGTACTTTTGTTTGCTGTGTAATGTCATGCTGCCTAGTCAAGAGTGGCAAGTACAGTTCCTCCCAGGTGCCCAGAGGCCCCACTCTGTGACCTCGTGTGCTTTCTGGTCACAGCTGTTGGGTTTCCCTTTTCTCTAGGCACTTGCAATTTACTGATCTGTGGCCATAGGAGTGGGGAGCTTGAGGCAGGCCTCCACACTGTCCATGGACCCTCTGTCCCAACACACAGTGGACATGTGACCTCGACGAGCATTGCAATCTCCATGCCTCTTGCTCACCCCTACTGAGGTGGCTGTTCCTTGCCCCTCCTTCCATACTCCCTCTCCTCCCCTTGCCTTCACTCAGGCCTCTGCTGGGGAGCTGTCCTCCAGAGGTAGGAGTGGGGAGGTGGTGAGAGTGAGGAGAGGGGGAAGGGAGTGACCAGGAGCCCATGTGGGGGGTATGGTAGGCTGTATAGAAGACTCCAAACACCTGGCACATACTCCATTACTCCAGTAGACTTCCCTTGCAAAATAGAGATCTCATGATAAAATTATGAAGAATTTCAACATGGCAGCCATGGAGCGTTAAACCACAAGTTGAGCCCTTCTGAATGTGGGGCATGGGCCCTGTGGAATTGTACTGGTCTACATAGCTCTAATCTGTGACGATACCTGATAAATTTGAAGCTCTTACATCTTCCTGCAGCTAGTCTGTCTTGTCTCTCTCTTTTTTGGTGCTGGGAATCCAACCCAGGTCTCATTCATAGTAAACAAGTTTTCTATCACTGAGCCTCCTTTTGAGATAAAATCAGTCAGTCTTATTGTCTATATCTTTCTCCTCCTCTCTAACCCCCAAATCTAAGGTGTTCTAAACATCTTAGAGATCCTGGCCCTCTTATAAAATAGTTAGCAGCTTTGATGTTTGAGTCAGTCAGAACTGGGTTTGTATATTGGAATATCAGCTCCTGCTTCCTAGTGTTGTGGCCATCTGCATGTTTCTCAATCTCTCTAGGTTGCAGATATCTCATTGATAAAAATCTTTGAATAACTTCCCCCCCAGGCTTTCATGATGACTAAATAAAATAATGCAGGTAAGTCATTCATTACATGACATAGCATCTGTCTGGGACAGTGTTTTCACACTTTCATTTGCATAGAATCGCCTGAGGAGTGAAAATGCAGGTTGCTCTGTTATATTTAGAGAGATTTTTGAATCTCTAGTCTTGGGATAGCACCAAAGGACCACAGCTGTAGTTGTCAGTTTCATTCGAATAAACAGAATGATTACTTCTCTTTTGAGAATATGTTGAGCATGTGCTTTTAGCTGTGGTATCCAGAGTTGTCTGTGTATGTATGTTTTTAACATTTGGGGGTTTGCACATATTGTTTGCACAAATCTACTAAATTAATGACCTCACTTTTCTAATCAAATTTGTTCTAAGGCTATGGGGTTAAGAATATATGTCAGCTATAAAGCCAGGTTTCATGATTAAGTGAGATCATATCATAATCCACTTGTGCCATGTTTAGACTGTGTTTAAAAACTGTAGGCAAATTCCTTATCCCAGCCCTTGAGGAGACTATTAAATAATTAATTTTATCTGACCAAAAGATCACTGGGAAGGCTTGTGAGTTTTGAATATATTTAAACTACAAAACTAAGAGAGAAAGAAATGTAAAGGGAGCTGGGATTGTGGCTTAGTGGTTGAGCACTTGCCTAGCATGTGTGAGGCACTGGGGTTGATTCTCAGCATCACATATAAATAAATAAAATAAAGGTCCATTGACATCTAAAAAATATTTAAAAAAAAGAAATGTAAGTGTTGGTGACAGAACAGAAGGTTAACATTATATGTCCTCACAACATAGACATGATACAAGTGACTATCGAGGGGAGAGGGAAGGCAGGTGAGGTTGAGTGAATTCACTGGTTGCAAAATGTCTCATGCGGGAGTCGGCTTATCAGTCAAAGCTCCCAAATCAAATAGAAGTATAAATATGTTTAGTAGCAAAGAGTAAACTCTAAGAAAGATAATACTATTGACTAGTATTGGGTATTGGAGGAGAAAGGGAAGAAGAAGAAATAATGCTGACTTTAGTTATTGCTCACATGGATTTATTACAGATGGAAAAGAAATAAAGAGACATGTAATTGTACAGTTAACCACCAAAAAAAAAAAAAAAAAATTGTACAATAAACAACAAAAAAAAAAAAAAAAAATTGCACACCAAAGGAAAGAAAAATAAAGCAAACTACATAGTAAAATATTTTTTTTTTTAAATTGTGAAAATAGAAAGCAGAACATAATGAAAGTACAGAACTATAAAAAAAAATTTATCAGTCACATCAGTGCATACAAATGGGTTTGGTTCATCTAGTAAAAAAATCATTCAGGGTTAGGTTACTGATATGGGTTGAATTATGCTCTGCCCCTCAATTTCATACGTTGAAGTCCTAACTTCCTGTACCTTAGAATGGAACCTTATTTGGAGAAAGGATATTTACAAAGATAATTAAGTTACAGTGGGGTTAATAGGGTGGGTC